AAATCCTGTGAATCACTTTGAGATGTCCACCCACCGTGCTAAGGTGCTGGATTATTGTTTATTACAGCCTAAATGGAATTTCAGGTCTTGCCGCCAAGTCCAATTGTGTCCTGACCCAGAGGAGCTGAACAGCGATCAGGAGCAGGGATTTCACCCAGACACAGAGGCTAATTGTGGAATGAAATCCTGCCTTAACCCAGAGTAGCCAAATTAGCACAGACCAGGATTTGAACTTGTGAACTTCTGATCCGTTAGGCTGAACGCTGCACAGCTCATCCACGGAGCGATGCAGGAATGGTTGCGCAATCTAAAGATTGTAACGCTTTTCCCACGCATGTAGGAAACTAATAACTTAAGACTACATTTTGAGAAAATGTTCTTTGTATGTGTAAAACCAAATTCACGCCATAAGCGCTGCTGATATACATGACACCGCCATCAAAACCAAAGTTTTCATCTCTTTCCAAGTGCCTCTGCCATCCTTAAATCCGCTGATAAGTGAGGGATAACCTCCATTAGCCAAGTACTGTGCAGTCGTGTTCATGCACAGGCAGACCTCAGTGCATTGCAAGCTCAGCAGCAAGTTATGTGACAAACTGAACTGTTAGATTCAGCCTTTCATTTCACACGATCTACCGGTAAGCGAAGAATGAACTTGGATTAATGATGAAAGTCAAAGCAGACCGTGATCGATCTCTAAGCGGTGAGTTAATCTCTTTCTGTTTGTTACTAATTCGGGAATCTTCCATATCCGACGCTGTTACCTGCAACACTAAGTGGGCCTCCAGCGGGTTCTCTACACTGGTAGACCACTTTAATTTTTGTATGTGGGACACACTGCAGCAAAGAAGCAATGCTGCGACTCTGTCGAGCAGGGATTTGACCAGCTTTCATTATTTAACAGATTTTGTAAGCATGCGTACACACGCACTGACTGAGTAGAGGAATGCTCTTGTGTTTCTGTACCTTGCTCTAACTTCGTTTCTATTCTCGTGGAGTCCTGTAGCTCAGTGGTTAGAGCACTCGCTTTGCAAGCGAGAGACCTCAGTTCAATTCTAGGCAGAGGGCGAAACCTTGGGCAAGTTTCCTTACTCCACACAGAGCCTAATAATAATCCCTCCAAAAAACAAAAACAATAATAAATTGGTCATTTTCAATCTACGACTGTTTGTGGGACATTGCTGTGCACAATTGGCTGCCGCGTTCGCCCACAAATATACAGTCAATTCACTTTACAGTGTGTTCTGTGAAGTGCTTTGGGACGTCCTCCCGACGTGAAAAGCGCTATATCAAATGCAAGGATTATTATTATTATTAACATATAGCAATATAAAATATAAATAAATCACTTTATTCTGATTTTACCTCAAAGCACGCAGTAGTTTGAAAGCCTCCTATGTGGAGAGAGTTAAGAACAGCTGGTATCCAATGATGTCTGAGTTTCTGGATAGGAAACATGACTTGTATTTCAATGCTCCAGACTAGGTTTAAACAGGACAGTCGGCACTTGGAATAAATCCTTGTTTAAGGAAGCAGAAGGAGCCAAAATAAACATTCAGAGCAACTGATTATTGATAAACTGTCATTTTGTAACCAAGGCATGAGGACAGTGGCAATTGTTTCTCTCTGTCTCTTTCTCTCTCTCTCAGTGTATAACACACTCCGTTCTTCCATTAAGAGTCCTGTGGAGTCCTGTAGCTCAGTGGTTAGAGCACTCACCGTGCAGGCGAGAGACCTGGGTTTGATTGCTGGGCAGGGTGAAATGTTGGGCAAGTTTCCTTACTCCACACACTTCTCTTTACCTAGCAGGAAGTAGAAACCAGTTGTTGGTCGATTGGCAGGTCGCTTTTCCAAGGGTAATAATTCCTTCAAAAAATGTAACATTAATAATAAATTGGTCACTTCAATCCACGACTGTTTGTGGGGCCCCGCTGTGCGCAATTGGCTGCCGCATTTCGTCCACAAAATATACAGTCAATTCACTTTACAGTATATCCTGTGAAGCGCTTTGAGACGTCTCGAAGAAATGATAAGGCACTGTATCAAATGCAAGGATTATTATTATTAAGTCGTCTGCCGTTGATTATTTTTGTTTGTGTTTTAGGTCAAGAATGTCTTTGAGTTATCCATAGTGGAGATGGGTGATGTCAGTTCTTTACAGCACAGTTGATTGTGATTATTGACCTAACCTCTGTAAAGGGTATATAGTGCCATTGTGCCATTTGTCAGGGAATCGTGATATAATATAGTTATATTTAATTATCCTTGCATTTAATATAGCGCATCAGCACGTCATACGATATGTCAAAGAGCTTCATAGGATTTTAGTGTTAATTGTATTGTCTGTGTATTTGTAGGCAAATGTAGCAGCTAATTTGTACAGAGCATAATCCCAGAAACGATCATGAAGTGAAAGAGCAATTTTATTTGGGTAAATTTATCTTGTCAAAAAACATGGACATTGGGAGAGAGAAACTCTCTTCTCAATTAGAGTCATTTCATGGAATCTGTATTGTCCACCTGAACTGGGAGAGCCAGGACCTTATCTGAGTTTAACTTCTCATCCGAAGGATGGCAAGTCCGACTATCAGCCTATACTGTGAGTTTAATGTCCCGACGTGGGGCTTGAACCCACAACCTTCTGATTTAGAGGGAGCAGTGCTACCAACTGAGTGGTTCTGAGACGTTCCCCTGCGTGGAGGATGTTATATAAGTGCAAGTTGTTGTTGTTGATTCAGGCTGAGAGACATGAAGGCTGTTCCTGCCTAACACAGTAATTTTGTACGTCAAGATTTTGTTCTGTTGTGTTCAGAAGCTTTAAGCTGATTTGAGCATTTTCATCTGGTTACGCTGACTGACAAAGAGGAAATGAGGAGCACAAGATATTAATCTGAGGTTGTCTCGCTGACAATTTTGGACCTTGTACAAAGATGCATTTGTGCTGTGTTATTTGTACTTTTGCCTCTTGTGACTTTGTGCTGTCAAGTGTTTTGAGCCTCTAGGATGTAGTATGAGTTCAGCTAAAAGCTGTGAAATAACAGTTCTTTCTCTTGCTGTGAAGTCAAGACACCTTGGTATCTTGTTTGACCCTGAACTGTCCTTTCTCCCCCACATCCGCTCCATGACCGGCACTGCCTACCACCACCTCCGCAACATCGCCAGATTCCGCCACTGCCTCACCCTCAGGCTGCCGAAACCCTCACCCACGCATTCGCCACATCAAGGCTTGATTACGGGAATTACTTCCTCATCGGCCTTCCCAACTCTTCCCTTCACATGGTGCAAATCATCCAAAACTCTGCAGCTCGTGTACTCTCACGCACCAGGCTCCGTGACCCCCATCACTCCCACCCTCACCCGAATCCACTGGCTCCTCATCCACCAGAGGATCGAGTTCAAGATCCTCGTCCTCACTTTCAAGGCCATCCATGGCCTTGCCCCCTCCTACCTCTCTGACCTGCTGACTCCCTATCAACCTGCCCGCTCCCTCCGTTCAGCGGGCTCCGGGCTTCTCCATGTCTCCCGCCCGACCCACCCTATCATTGGTGGCCGGGCTTTCAGCCTCTCTGCCCCCACACTCTGGAACTCCATCCCACAGTCCCTTTGCCTCGCTTCCTCCCTTGCCTCCTTCAAGGCCGGTCTCAAGACCCTCCTCTTCGATCGTGCCTTCAGTCGCCCTCCCACCTCTCTGCCTTCCCTCATCCCTCTCCCATGCTCGGGTCTCAATCCCTGACTGTCCAGTGCCTTGGGACATCCGCCCGATGTGAAAGGCGCTCTATAAATGTAATTTTGTTGTTGCTGTCTAGAAAGTTAAATGGGCTTGGAGTAGACTTAGCTTCGCTGGGAGTAGGTGCAAGTTCCATTTTATAACTGCCTGCAGTTTGTACATATTGGGGATTGGGGGTCTCTTTTGATCAGTGAGTTAGAATCATATTGCTTGCAATGTCTTTTTATTATTATTCTTAACGAACACAACAAGAAACATGTTGATAAACTAGGAGTCTCCCACAATCAGACATCAGCTATTAGTATTTTTATATCATCTCAGCTAAGATTACAGTAATTTAACTACAATGAAGTCGGACATTTTTAAACCATCGGCTCTTATTGAGTCTCCAGAGTATCAATATTCTGTTACTACTGGAGACACTTATACCTTACTCGTCTTACTGCAGATTTGCCCTCCCTGACCCTGCTTTCATTGCTTTCAGGAGCTCCAGTCTGAGACTGAAGTACCCTTTTTTTAACAAAACCTCCATGTTCTGGGAACAGTAATCATGTCAATGGATCTTATGACCCGGGTCTTAAGCGAGAGAACCCGGGTTCAATTCCTGGGCGGGATGAAACCTTAGGCAAGTTTTCTTACTCCACATGCCTCTGTTTATCTAGCAGTGAGTAGGAATTCGGTTGTTAGCCGATTGGCGCATCGCTTTTCTGGGGGTAATAATCCCTTCAAAAATTTAGAAAATCATAGTAATAATAATTTGGTCACTCATTCCACAACTGTTTGTGGGACACTGCTGTGTGTAGTTGGCCTTCACGTTTCGCCCACAAATTATACTGTCAATTCACTTTACAATGTAGTCTGTGAAGCGCTTTGAGACGTCTCGGAGATATAAGGCGCTATATCAAATGCAAGGATTATTATTATTATTCATGTATCCATGGCTCAGTCAGTCTAGCGTATTGCGGTGTTCAAACACTTCAGCCTTTAGGCTGTCAAGTTCAACTATATTCCTGTAGCCTTCAAAGAGATAAATGAGAGATTCTATTCTATTCCCAAATTGAACTTCCCTCGTGTTATCGGTTTGTGACTGTGTCCTTGTACATGACGCACGACTGCATATTTGTCCTCTCTGTGCCAAGTTCCTCTTGCTCATGATGGATACTGTCACATGAGTTCAGTGTAATGAAAGCTTATGATTTGAATGTTGTTCAAGTTATTTTTATCCCTTGAATTCCGACTAATGCGCTTTGTCTTCTCTTGCCTTGCGTTTCAGCCATAGAAACACAGAGTACCAGCTCAGAGGAAATAGTGCCCAGCCCACCCTCTCCACCCCCTCCTCCGCGTGTATACAAACCCTGCTTCGTCTGCCAGGACAAGTCGTCAGGCTATCACTATGGAGTCAGTGCTTGCGAAGGATGCAAGGTATGAAATCCGAGTGTTCAGAGCCGGATGCCATGCTACAACAACAACAACAATTATCATGTATATTGCCCCCTCCTGGAGGGTTACCTTTTGGGAGCACTGAATGTTTGAATGTTGACCTTCCTGATCAGAGTCCAGAATTCCCAGGTACATACTGCAATGTGTCACATTCCAATGCACCCAATCACATCCTTCATCAGGAATTGTAATGCGCTTCACCAAACCTGGCTTCACACCAGATTACAATCTGGCTGTTGCGTTTACTGAGACAACGCTGTTTAAAATCTCAGATTTACACAAGCTGTTTTTTAATCATTCATTTTAATTTTCAAAATACAAGCTGGGAGAGAGAGAGGATTGCAATTCTGAGACTAGAATCCTATTCAGCCAGGGGCAACTAGTGCTAATTATGTACCAAAAGAATATCTAAAAATCCATCAATATCTTCCCAAAACAGACACCAACATGTATACATATTGAATGAGAGAGAGAGACAGAGAGAGAGAGAGAGAGACAGACAGACAGACAGAGAGAAATGTCTTAAGATGAGAACAGGCTGCAGGGCTGGAGTCAGGATTCCCACAGCTGCTTTGTGTTTAGGCCAAGAAAGTTCTGTGTTTTAATCACGGATCTGTATCGTCTCAGACTAGCAGTATTATCTAGAATTGTTTGATTAAAGTTGAGTAGCAGATCACAAAGAGACAGCAAGCAGTTTGTCAATGGTGTGACAAGGAAAGTGCTATATGGGTCATTTGCGTGAGAACTTGGAAACAAGTGGAAGAGTTTGGCAACGGATTGCAGCACTGACAAGGCAGGAAACCATAGCTGTTCTTCATTTGCTGTCATTGTGAGTAATGAAGGAAGAGCACGGTAGCTTTAGAATTCCATCTTTTGCCGTGTTGATTCCAAATGAGAATTGAAAACATCCGGGAAAGTTATTAAATGAAGAAACACGATCCCAGGCTAGGAGAGACTGCTGATCTGGCACCTGATGCAGAGGAAATCAATCTGACAATTGCTCACCTGCAAGGGAATGAGAGGCTGTGGTTTGAAAGATGTTCGTGCAGGACCAAGAGGCAATTGCATGTGGAAGGATACAATACGGTTATTTTAATGCTTTCGCTGGGGAAAAAAATTCACTTCAGACAGGAACGTTTGGCCAAATAGTTGTAGAGAAAACCCGATTGTTCCTAAACATTAGCTGGGCTGTTGTGACAGGGATGGTGTGGAGGTTGAGGGAAGGATTGGGGGAGATATTTGTTACAAGCCCTTGTCTCTGCAATTGGCTGTCGGTGCTGGGAGCCAGTTGGACTGGGGGAACACAGTTCAATTGCTGAGCCAGGTAATGGCCACTTCTCCAGGGTGTTGTTAATGGTTAACCTCCCCACCTGACTCATCAGTCAGGTTGAGAGGAGGCGTGTCACTAGGGGAGGCTCTATTCTGCCTCAAAGGCTGCTAATTATATCAGGTTATTAACTGATTCAGTTCCAGCTTTAGAATTTACCGTCCAGCCACTTTACACGTCCCACCCGGCTTCTGCCATTCCACACGTGTTCTCCTGACATAGACAAGCAAAGTGGATCGATCTCCCGGCAAGAACTCACTAAGTCTCCTCTCCCAGTCCTCAGGAGATGGAAGTTAAATATCTTCAGCACAGCCACAGTGTGGGGTGTAGGGGGGGCTACGTAGGCTATTTATGTCTGACATTCAGCGAATATAAAAATACATTTATTACTGGCTGCCCTGGTGAGCATGTTCTCCATTTGGTGGGAGACATGTTTGTCTCAGGAAATAAACAGGTCTGTGAAGACATTGACCTTTTGCCTATTTTACGTTGAGTGTTTTTTTTGTCCCTCCTGTTGAGGCAAGGATTAAGCTATTGAACACACGTGTCAAAGTCACTGGTAAGAAACGGAAACTTCTTCAGCCAGGGGGATTTGATAGAAGAGTCTTTTCATTCAGTCCTTCAAAGAACAGTTTTGGTGGATTTGCACAACAGCACCAACGCGATTTGTTGAATGGAAGAAGAATGGAAATTAAGAGTCTTTTCATGGACTTAATCTTTTCTAGCATGTGTGAAGCTGAAAGGGAGGTTTGCCTTCAGCCTGTGGAGTCTTTGTCTCTGGCAACATGGCCTGTTAGCTGCTATTGGCAGATTCACAGACTCAAATGGGTTTTGGCAAAGCTCTCCAGAAAAATACTGTTCCAAAGGAGGAGGAGAATCATCATTTCAACTATAAATTAAATTAAATACTTCACGGATCTTGCTGTGAACTGCAGCTTGAACAAGGCCAAACTATTTAGTTACTTAAGGAAATGTGGGGGAAGAGGAAGTGCAACTGAATGAGGTTTTAGAACAAGAATGTTAACAAATTATTTGTAGTTTTCCAAGTTACTTGACATGACTTCGTCGTCTAATTTATCTACGTTTCTGCGCTGGTTTCTTTTCTCAGGCGACCCTGCCAGAGTGCTTTCAAGCAGAAGTATAGATGAGAACTGATAGACACATAATAGGGGTCTCATTTGTCGTATTTGTTAATAAGGAATCCCGTTGAAGTCCTCTCGACCTTCGCGAACGTCTCTGGAGCCAGATTGGAGCAGGTTTCCCACAGCTCAGTGTGACAAACGTCTAGTTATCACAAGGAGCATCGAGGCCGACTCCTCACTAAAAGAATCCTGTTAACAGATACCCCAGATTAAGACCCAAATGCCTACAGAGCAAATGAACGTATTCCGTGTTTTAATAACCACAATGATTTTTATGCGTTTAGTTTATGGAGTTCTGTAGCTCAGTGGTTAGAGCACTCGCCTCACAAGTGAGAGACCCGAGTTCGATTCTCGGCAGGGTGAAACCTTGGGCACGTTTCTTTACTCCACACGCCTCTGTTTACCCAGCAGTAAGTAGGAACCCGCTTGTTAGTCGATTGGCGGATCGCTTTTCCGGGGGTAATAACTCCTTCAAAAAAATTAGTCACTTCAAACCACAACTGTTTGTGGGACACTGCTGTGCGTAATTAGCATTATGTACAGTATATTCTGTGAAGCGCTTTGAGACGTCTTAAAGACATAATAAGGCGCTATATCAAATGTAAGGATTATTATTATATTATAAGTTAAACTGTATAATACAAGCTGGGAAATACTCTTACTCTCTCTGTGAATGAGAAGTTAAATCGGGAAAGGAGTCGCAACTTGAGAGTGAAGAATGAAATGTTCTAAAATCTCTCCTGCAGTAATAGTTGCAGCTGTAATGTTTTTTTCTAGCCTGACTGGTAAAATCTCTGCTGATTTCCAGGTCATAAAACATGCACCTATACACAGCCAATTATTGCACTGCAAAGCACACTCATTAATCCGGGAGTTTGTTTGCTTCAAAAGGACATTTTCTCAACCACACGTTCATTTTCTCCTTGTGTGGCTAACAATCCTCCAACAATTTGTGTTTATTCAGCGCTCTTCACGAAGGGTCTCGGAGCGCTTCACAATGCCATAGTTTGTCTCCAAACCACAGAGAACGGGGAGGTCACTGAAGAGGAAAATCTTCAGGAGGGGAGCTAAAACCCTCCAGTTAAAACTTCTCTCACAGATTAGTATGCTGTCACTGTGTGAAAATGTGTTGCCTCGTTCGCCCACAAATACACAGTCACTATCTTTCACAGTAAATCCTGTGAAGCGCTTTGAGACTTGTCAAGAGTTGCTAAGGCATTATATCAAATGTAAGGATTATTATTTTTCTTCAGTAGCTTTCTCTTTGTAGCTAAATAATAATAATAATCCTTGCATTTGATATAGCGCTTTTCACATCGGGCGGACGTCCCAAAGCGCTCACAGAACACACTGTAAAGTGAATTGACTGTATATTTGTGGGCGAACGCGGCAGCCAATTGCGCACAGCAATGTCCCACAAACAGTCGTAGATTGAAAATGACCAATTTTTTTTATTATTGTTTTTGTTTTTTGGAGGGATTATTATCAGGTGTGTGGAGTAAGGAAACTTGCCCAAGGTTTCGCCCTCTGCCTGGAATTGAACTCAGGTCTCTCACTTGCAAAGCGAGTGCTCTAACCACTGAGCTACAGGACTCCACAATATGAATATATCAGCCAGCAAATACAAGGCCAAGTCAATTACAGTCTGTGTGAATTACAACAACTTGCACCGTACAGTGCCTTTCACCCCGAGAGAGCGCTTTATAGAAACAATGTGGATCACAAGGTGGGAAGCTGGGCTGTTTGAAGATGTTGACAAAACGTATAGTAATAATAATAATCCTTGCGTTTGATACAATGCCTTGTCATGTCTTCGAGACGTCTCAAAGCGCTTCACAGGATACACTGTAAAGTGAATTGACTGTATATTTTGTGGGTGAAAAGCGGCAGCCAATTGCGCACAGCAGCGTCCCACAAACAGACGTGAATTGAATATTTTTTTAAAAAAGCATTTATTACCCCTGGAAAAATGATCTGCCAATCGACTAACAACCGGGTTCCAACTTACTGCTCGGTAAACAGAGGCGTGTGGAGTAAGAAAACTTACCCAACATTGCGACCTGCTGGGAATTGAACCTAGGTCTCACTTGCGAGGTGAGTGCTCTAACCACTGAGTTACAGGACTCCACAATGGTCAAAGAGAGTTATTTGGAGCAAACATAAACAAGTATGACTGGAGATACAATCATACTTGTTAATGTTCCCTGGACATACAGTAGCTGCTGGGTTGATTTAGTTTGAATCTGGCTGACCCTCGAGGGAGAATAGAGACAGGAAGGTTGAGGAGATGCAAGATGGAGAGCAGATGGCCCTGATCACATTCTGGGATTGTCTTCAACAAGAGGAAGGTTAGTGGGGCTTAATCAGGGCGTTTGGTCAGCGAGTAAACATTACCATTTCATGTCTAAAGGGTTATTGCAATGTTTAACAGACTGTTCCACAAAGGTGACCATACATATTCCACCCACTAGCATTATCAACTGCAAGGATTATTATCTATTGTAACCCGGTGT